AGGGCGCCTGGGTGGCTCAGTTGGTTAAGCGACTGCCTTCGGCTCAGGTCATGATCCTGGAGTCCCGGGATCGAGTCCCACATCGGGCTCCCTGCTCAGCGGGGGGTCTGCTTCTCCCTCTGACCCTCTTCCCTCTCGTGCTCTCTGTCTCTCATTCTCTCTCTCAAATAAATAAATAAAATCTTAAAAAAAAAAAAGATTCTCTCTTTAACTGTTGACATTTTGATTATAATGTGTTTTGGTGTGTGTCTCTTTGGGTCCAACTTAGTAGGGGCTTTCTGTGATTTCTGGACCTGGATGCTTGTTTCCTTTGTCAGGTTAGGGAAGTTGTCAGCCATTATTTCTTCAAATAGGTTTTATGTCCCTTTCTTTCTCACTTTTCCTTCTGAGACTCCATAATATGAATGTTAGTACACTTGATGTTGTCTTGGAGATCTCTTAAACTATCCTCATTTTTAAAATTCTTTTTTCTTTTTGCTGTTCTGATCGGATGATTTGCATATCATATCTTTCAGGTCATTGATCCATCCTTCTGCATCATCTAATCTGCTGTTGAGTCCCTTTGGTGTATTTTCCATTTCAGTTATTGTGTTCTTCAGCTCTGATTGGTTCTTTTTCATATTTTCTATCTCTGTTGAAGTTCTCACTGTGTTCATCCATTCTTCTCCTAAGTTGGGGGAGCATATTTATGACCATTACTTTGAACTCTTTATCTGGTAGATTGCTTATCTCCATTTCATTTAGTTCTTTTTCTGAGGTTTTGTCTTGTTCTTTCATTTGGAACATACTCCTCTGTTTCTTCATTATGCCCAATTTTCTGTTTATTTCTATCTATTAGATAGATCAGTCTCCCAGTCTTGAAAGAGTGGCTTTATGCAGAATGTGTCATGTGGGGCCCAGTAATGCAAACTCCCCTTAGTCACCTGAGTGAGGTGCCCCAGGGGTGTCCCTAGTATGGGCTATGTACACTCTCCTGTTGTGGCTGGGTGACAACTCACTGTTGTGCAGGGCTGGCCCCATCCCATCTGGCTATAAGGCCTGGCTGTGAGTACTACAGGTATGCTGATGGGTGGGGTTATTGTCCTTTTGGCTGAGAGGCCTTGCTGAGGTACAGGATTATACAGGGCTCTCAGTGGGGCACATCCCCTGACACAGCATTCTAAAGGGAGGATTTCACAATGGTGTCTACCAGCACCAGGATAAGCACAGCAGAATGAAATAGGAAAATTGGCTGCAGCCAGTGTCTCAGTCCCCCGGGAGAGGCTCAGCTCTCTCTCCCATCTCACTGGCTGACGTTCCAAGATTAGTAAGTGGATCTCCTTCACCTGTGGTCTATGTGCTTTTCAATCTCTTGTTTTTGCACGGGTTTCTGCATTGAGTGAGTCTGTGCTTAAGCCCTTTGATAGCAGTTTTGTTTTCTCTACCAGGTTTTCCTGAGAGCATTCCCTGTTGGTTGGTTTTCAAAGCCTAGTGTTTGGGGGGCTGATCTTCTGTGTAGGATCTAAGGGTTGAAGTTTGATGTGGAGCTCAAATCTCTTGCTCCTCAGCAAAAATTTCTATATTTCTGAGATCCTTCTGATTAGAATGGGATGCTGCATCTGGGTTGTGGTTTCTTCCTTAGTGAGACTGTGTCTCTGTCACTTCCATCCATGTCAGTGCTATCCCTTGTTGTGGAGGCCCTGCTCATCCAGTTTCTAGGCCCCCTTCAGAGAGGACAATTCCACATGCAGTTGTAGACTTGTTGTGTCTGTGGGAGGATGTGAGTTCAGGATCTTCCTACGCCACCATCTTGCCTGTCCCCTATCCAGGAATTTCTGGTTATGATATTTACAGGAGCTGATGTTCAGCCATATGGGTTGAATTGCACACTCTCACTAAAATTCACTGTGATGCCAGAAATAGAAAAATCAGGATTTGCTAAAAGAAGATAATAAGCTGGGGTACTTTGTTTCAATATCCCTTCATGACCTAGCCAATATCTAAAATCTTGATATTTTGTTTAATTTTTAGCAGATATTTATCAATTTTCTTTAGTATTAGCCAGGCTGGCTTAGGCAAAGAGAATTTATTTGTCTCAGAACCCAACTAAACTGAGGGAAAAGCAGTTACACAGCTGAGACTCAAGAATAAGTGCAACCAGGGACTTGAACATCCTGAGTATCTCGGTATACTTCCTGCCTCTATCTCTCTTTGTATGTTGACTTCATTCTTTTATCTTCTTTTCCCTACATGGAAGAATTAAGCATGACTGCTGACATCTTTCTAGCATGAGAAGACACAGCCCTGTTGGCCCAGAGTCCACAGGTCCCAGGGCAGTAATTCATTGGTTTAGTTGCATCAGGCATCCATTTCTGGACCAATCACTTGTGGTCAGGGCAGGCTGGAAACCGTGCCTGATTCCATATGGGTAAAGAACATAGTTCCAGGACTAACTAGTTATGGCAAGGAGACCACTGGCATGAATAAACATTGAAGAAGATAGTCCATTTCTACAAGAACAGGAGATAGTGATGGGCAGACTCTTTCATAGAAATCCTCAATACCCTAAATGTTTGGAGGATTCTCCATATACTTGGAAATTACTCTCCATTCTCTATAAATAATAACCAAGATTCACTCTAATTGGCTATTTCATTGTCAAAGAAAGTCTAGTTCTAAGTAGTCAATAATATCCTACTTGTTATCAAAATACCTAGTGGCATGGGCCGAGGGAGAGAGTTTTTTGGCCTACCATTGTTCAGAGATGAGCAATTTGGCTCACTATATAACAGTTGTTCATTCATGGTCTTTTAAAAATTGAAATTAGCCTACACTAGTTTCTTAAAGTATCATGTGAAGCCTCAAAGTAAACAACTAAAATAAAGGTGCCATGAACTTGTTTTTGATGTGTGTGTGGAGTGTGTGCGTGTGTGTGTGATTTTCTTCAAACAGGATGAATACTTATTAGTTGGGGATGTAATAGTTGCCTAAAGGCAGAGAATGGACCAAATGAACTCTATTTTCTGGATAATCTGCTGAGGAGACACTGAGTTTACAGAAGTAAATTCTGAAGACTTATTGATGTTTTTTCCCTCATTAAGCAGGATTTTCAAACATAAGAGCCTTTTATGCTACCTTTCAGCAAATCCATAACTGCATATTATTTTTAGCCAATAGACTGACTCTACTATAAACTTCGAAGATGTCCAAAAACAAGATGTAAAATATTTCAAAAAAGCTGCTTAAGCACAAACGGAGATTTTTGAGCTTTTTGGAATCTCTTTTTGGTTTCTCTTCTAGTGGAAGTCCTTCCCACATGTCCAGGTCCTGAGACACTTCTTTCCATGAAGAGAAAGGCTGGATGCTAAGCTCTGCTAACTGTCCATCCTCCCTACCATTTCCCACAGCCCCCTACCCTCACAGGCACACATGTTCTGTGGTTACCATAGGAACTAGTAGGATCTAATTATTTAAAATTTTGATATTTTGTTCTCCATGGATTTTTGCGTTAATTTTGATTAAAAAATATTTCATTAAAATGTTCTTTATCTTGCTTACTGCATTTTTGGCCCCTTGCTTTTAAAATTTTGTATCTTATGTGAGTGTCTTACCTTGTCTCAGGCCTCATATTTAGACAGACTTGAGTTAAGAATCTAGTGTAGCACCTTAACTAGTACCTATCATGCTCAGTCTTGATCTCCCCACCTCTAAAACAAAAATGATAACTGAAATATACTTATAGGGCTGTTTGAAGGATTAAATGAGATGGTACATGAAAAGCATTTAGTATGCATGAAATGGAATCAGTATTCAGTGAATATGACTAGCATAACTACTGTCAATAATAACACAAGTGACAGCAAAAGCAGTAATAGTAGATAACATTTAGGTGCAGTCAATAATAGTAAGACATAATCCCAACTCTAGAGAAATCCTTTCTACTGGGAGGCTCAGACATATAAAAATATAGTCACCATTCAATGAACTGTTATAAAAAGGTTTATATGTGGTATGAAGAAAGCATGAGAGTGAGGAGAACTAGCTAAGCTCTTAGAGAAGGGGTTTTGAGCACCAAAGGCTGAGTAAGAGGGTTTGCTAAATGGAGAAGAAAAGAAAGATCACTCCAGTGCGTACAAAGTCACCGAGGCTGGAAAGGGCCTGCTGGACTGTTCAGAGGGAGACATTCTCTGTAGCTGGGATGGGGAATTCTGGTAGGAAAGTTGTGGGAGTTGAGCCTAATAAGAAAGGATCTAGTCTGTAGATTAAGAGCCTGGAATATCATTCTAAAGAGTTTAGATTTTGTTCTGGGGACAGTGGAGGAGTCTCCTGAAGGATTTTGAGGCTCTGTTTTTGAGATGTTCACGCATGAGGTTTAGAAAGGTAACTGTGTGAAGGATAGACAGGCGAGGGGCAGGGGTGGAGCCAGGGATACCCACAAGGAGGCTATTGTGAGATCCAGGCGATGAGGATGAGGGCCTGAATCAAAGCACCAGCAGTGGTACTGAAAAGCAGTCAAGAGATCTGGCCCACATTTCAGAGGCAGAATTAATGACCTGGGTGGCTGACTGAGTGTGGGGTGCTTTGGGGATAAAGGAGAAACTGAGAATGCCTAGGAGGTCCCATCCACAGTAACTGACAGAACATGTGAAGAGGAGCCAATGTAGGTAAGTATGTATGGTGGGAAGAAGAAGATAAGGAGCTAGATTTTGAACAATTTAACTTGGAATGAAGGGGAATATCCAAGAGGACATGCTCAATAGACAGTTGGAAATATAAGGGAGGGACCTGGGAGAAAGGGGAGGCTGGAGTTTGTGTGTTGATTGGAGCATAGGAAATTTATGTACTATCTCTGGGAGAGCTGCCCTGAGAAGGGAGGGTTGAGGGCCCAATCAGATGATTGTCCTCATCTTTCTTCCTCTCTGCTTCTCCGTTTTATCTTTCCATGGACCTTAAAAATCAGTGTGCTTCCTGTGTGGGACTTTGGCCTGGTTCCCCAGCAAATGTCCTCAATGCTTCCTTACCCTGGCTATTTGGTCTGCCATTTGGAGACGTCCATCCAGCTCTCGTCTGATCTGGGCTGCTTGCTCATCTGGATTGTCCAGCTGCACAAAAGCACAAATACGGAGACTTTCAGTCTGGATCACAAAAACCAATGAACTAATGATGTTGCATTTTACATGCCCCAATTTCTGCCCCCATAGACATATTTCACTAAAACTTAAGAATCTTATAACAGACAAATACAACTGGAAGGAAATCTTAAGTTAAATCCTACCATGTGGTAGGCAGTTGCTAGGAAAGACATTTGAATGAACTTGCACAAGAATCATTTTGGAACTGCTAGACAGCAGTGCTTCTAATAAGGGCCCAATACAGCACCTCTATTTTGGTCCAGTGAAGAAAGTGTTTACATGACAGACAGACAAGGAAGGAGCCAGTAATATAACTATTAGAAATGCGTGGAACAGACATAGTGCTTATCCATAGTGCCTACAAGGCATATATCCTACAGCTGTCCCACCCCTAGACCATGGGAGATTAATCAATCATTGCATTCCTTCTCACTGAGCCCTAAGACTTTCTCAGCCGGTACTCCAGATGGCCATTACCACTGAGTTGGTGTTCATATCTAAGTTGAAATCTATCCTTGTCTTCCCTGTAGTTAGAGCTATTAGAACGTAAGAATCAGCATACCCAAGCATAAATAAACCTGGACAACTCCCTTCTCTGGTTTTCTCATCTATAGAATGAAGGGGTTGGTTACATAATCTCCATCCTTATCACATCTTTGAAAGAGACTGGTAAATATTTCTGTAAAGGGACATATAATTATTACTTTGGGCTTTGAGGGTCATAAGATCTCTGTTGCAATGACTCAATTATTCCAATCAGATGTGAAAACAGACATAGACAATACATAAATGAATGAGCATTTCTGTGATCCAATACAACTTTATGTGCAACAACATGTGGCAGGCCATAGTTACTGATCTCTGCTCTTTGAATTAAGTTTTTCTCTTTATTTCCAAGCAAGCCTATTGTTATCCTTCAAACTGTAATTGAGTTTGTTTTGTTCAGTAGTTTATGATTAATTTTATTCACAGAAAAGTTTAATAAATAGGGAATAATGGCATTCAACTAGAATGGGCTTTATTCCTCTTTATAGTGCATATTAACTCACAATAAAATATAGCTTAAGAAGTATCTGAGTTTTCTAAGTCCCTTTCCTTTAAAAGCCATTTTTATTTAGAAATTTGAAAATAAAAACCCAGATCCAGAGGCGCCTGGGTGGCTCAGTCAGTTAAGTGTCCGACTCTTGATTTCGGCTCAGGTTGTGATTTCAGGGCATGAGATTGAGCCCCACTGAGGGCTATGTGCTCAGCAGGGAGTCTGCTTGAGATTCTCTCTCTCCCTCCCCCTCTGCCCCTCTTCCCTCTCTAAAATAAAAAACAAACAAACAAACAAACAAAAAACCCACCCAGATCCATGCTTAAAAAAAAAAAAGAATCTCATCTATGGAACAAAATGGTATAGAAAATAAGTTCTTTTTAATATGATGTAAACAAGAACACTGAAAAATTTATGGTCATACTTTTGAAGCATCGTCAATGGTCTTTTTTTAAAGATTTGTTTATTTATGAGAGAGAGAAATGTGAGCAGGGGAGGGGTAGAGGGAGAGGGAGGGAGAGACTCTCAAGCAGACTCCCCACTGAGCACAGAGCCTGTTGCTGGCTCTTGGTTTCACTCAGGTCATGATCTCATGACCCCGAGATCATGACCTGAGCTGAAACCAAGAGTCAGAGGCTTAACTGACTAAGTCATCCAGGTGCTCCATGGTTTATTTTATAAAACACATAAAAATCCATCTAGCTTTATGCCATGCATTTTTAGCACCTGATTTAATTCAGGAGTTGCCCTTTCTTCTCCTTTCTACAGTTTTGAGGGGCAGGACTATTTCCTAGATCATAAAGACTGGATTGCAACTTTTGGCCATATATTCTAAGGCAGCACTTCCTAAAGAGTTCTGCCAAACAACAATCTTATTAAATCCTCCAGAAGAAAGGGTTCCAGAAGAATGGTCAGTTGAGTTTCGAAAATGGTGTATCAAAATGCACAAAGTCTCTGAGAAGTAAGGAAGTCTGCTAGACTCTGATCAACTTATTCTTTAATTCAAACTGAAATTTTTATTTTTTATTTATTTATTTTTATTTTATTTTTTATTTATTTATTTTTTAAGATTTTATTTATTTATTTGACAGAGAGAGACACAGCGAGAGAGGGAACACAAGCAGGGGGAGTGGGAGAGGAAGCAGGCCTCCCGCCGAGCAGGGAGCCTGATGTGGGGCTTGATCCCAGGACCCCGGGATCATGACCTGAGCCGAAGGCAGACGCTTAACGACTGAGCCACCCAGGCACCCCTGAAATTTTTATTTTTTGCACAATACAATGCCCAGAGAATGAGCTGGAAATCCTGTTCTACATATATATAAAGAAAACCACCCGAAAGCAGTTACACTGCTGCCCAGGGGTCCATTCATCACAAGCCTCCGCATAGGCGCACATGGGAAACACAGTAGCCTCTGCTTTGTTTTTAAGTGCCAATGAGCTGTCTTCATTCTAGTCCCTTGGAAACCCAAGACTTCTTTAGCTCCAGGTGCCAACCCACTGGGAACACTCAGACATGTCATATTCAAAATACATATGCAAACAAAACGTCTGACTTCTTCACTGAGAAGCAGCAAAATGATTTGGTTAGGGGCTAAAGTTGGGAATTCTGTCAGAAGATACAATGTTCACAGAGGTTAAAAGTGAAAAGAGAAAACACAGCCCAGTAGAACCATCCCCACTACTAAATTTTATGGAGGCATCTGGCCTCATCAAACGGAAATAGGGACAGCAGACAATGCCGGCAAAGAAGACGAGCAGGCTAGGTCTACACTACGCTTCATTCATTAGTTCATGCATTCTCTCATTTACTCATTCATTTATCAGATCTTTATGGAATGTCTTGATATGTCAAGACAGTGGACTACAGAAAGGCACAAGAGAGACTTAGTCACTGCCTCCATGGAGCTTAAATCTAGCAAGGACAGATAAGGTTATTTGAACATTTGGGGCACAAAAGAGAGGAGAGTAGCATTTATTGATGCCTATGTCGAGCCCAGGTATCCTATGGCCTATATTTCAGTCTTTTCTGAAATGTCTCAAGAACTAGATATTAATAAATTCTCCCAGGGAAAAGACTCTGGGGTCAGGAAATGCTGCTCCCTCCTGAAAACTTATAATACATATTAGTATGATTAAGATTCTGAACAATTCTAGAAATAATAAGCCTATTGAACTGCATTTAATTTTGTCTTTTACATAATTATTTCACTGAAGAATATTCCACAGGGCAGTTTGGGAAATTTCGCATGTGAAACAACTTTATGCGGGAGGTATCATTATCGCCCCCATTTTACAGATGAAGAAACTGAGTCTCAGGAAGGTTCAGGAACTTGCTGCAGTTCACACAGCTGATAAAGTGGTATGACCCATTAGAAATGGAGTCTGTCCTGCCTCTAACTGAAGTTCTTTTGCTCTGCCATTATGTTGGCTTCTTTCTTAAGTGCCTTGTTTGGTTTCCTAATTGGTCCTGACAATTAACTAACTCAGTGCCCTCACTTTGTTCCTTGTATACATGGGACAGTTTAACACACTGAGCCACCACTAGGGGGCAGACAAATGTCTACCCTCCTTCACCTGTCATGACTGGCTGATGTCTTCTGGAGAGGCTACAGCAGTGCCAGAGCCCTCCCCCCAAAATGAGAGCAATGAGCGTGTCCTTATCCTGGCTCTGCCCCTTAGTTAGCTGTGTGACGTTAAACAAGTTACTTAACCTCTTTGTGCTCCAGGTCTCTTCATCTGAATAATCAGTGTAATAAATCGACCTAAGGCTATCATGAGAATTCACTGAGGCATCGGGTATAAAGTGCTCAGCCCAGTTCTTGGCACACAGGTTCCTGAACAAACCCTAAGGAAATGGTGGCTGCCTTTTGTGTTATTAAACAAGCCCATGGTGGCTGTATTTCTGACATGGGCCACAGTGGGGCGTCCAAGATTCAGATGAGAATGTGCCAGACGGGACTGTGTCCTTCTGTGGTGTGGCTGTGGGGGTCCTGCTCTATAGTCTGTGCACTAGAAAGGAAGGGATCGGGGCTCCCCTCTCTTGACAAATTTCCTAGGCTTCCCAGTGTCATCCACATTCTCCAGGGTCAAGTCCCTTTGCTCTGTTAGACTTTAATTAGAAGGAGTGACCGGAAGGCAGACACGGGTGCCTGACAGCTAAGGATCTGAAGGGAGGATGAGAAAGGAAATGCAACCAAAGCTCCCTCAAACAGCCTGGCATGATAGAGAAGGCCATCCTCAATCGAGGAGCTTGACAGCCCCACTGTATGCAATCCAAAAATATAAAGAGAAATCAAGTAATTACCTTTTCAAGTGCTAGAAAGAAAAAGCCAGAGAGTGAGCTTCCATGGAAACAAGGTTCTGTTTACTGCACTGGCCTTTTCCACCAAGGAAAGGAAAAATCAGCTGGCAAACCAGGCCAAGGGCAAACCTTCCCGTTGACAGCTCATTAGGGTTAAAATACGTACATGTGCATGAAGGCTCTTTACCTAATTAGACAAATAATCTTCCTACTAGCAGAGGTCAAGCAGAGGCAGCGTGGTGGTTGTCATGATTTGCCTGCCAAGCAAAGGGACTATTTCCCTGCACTATCCTCTTAAAGTGATGGGAAGCTGAGCCCAGCACTGCCCAAGTGCTGACAGGTATCACCTAAGCCATCAGTTCCAGCCCATCCCAAGGCTTGAGATTCTCTCCAGCTCATGGCTGTGCCCCTTTAGTCCATGCAGAGGCAAGAACTCAGACCAGCGTTGCTGTGGCCTGGTTCACACCTTCAGGAAGACCATGCCGCAGGGGACACAGGCCTGAGAATAGGGCAAAGGGGAGTCTGTGCCCAGCTATCTTACTTCCTGGTTCCATGACCATGTCAGGTTTCTCAATCTCTGAGCCTTAGATTCCTCAACTGCTGAGTGGGGATCACTTTGATCTTGCAAGGCTA